GGTTTCTCGACCAGTGTAGCAATAAAGCTCCAATTTTATTCCCAAACTCTCGTGGTCTGTGTTTGTATGTAAACAATTTGTCAACCGCCAATCGAGACCAAACAAGCGCCAACGAAACGCTGAAGCCCGGGAGACCGATTCTGAGCGTAACAACAAAGAACTCCAGAAGCGGTATGACAGCTTACTGAAAGACCACGAAAGACTTGCACAGGCCTTCCGAAATCAGAAAAAAGAAACGAAACTCCTTGGACAGCAGTGGAGGAAAAGGAGAAAGAGTATGAAGAAGCAGCAAATGATGCCAAAGAGCTGGCCAACCTGGTTCGAACAAAATGTGAAGCCATCAAGACGCTAGAGAAAAGACTCGTTGAGGCCAGAAAACTCATTGCAAGCTTAAAAGAAGAGCTTCAGTCAGCAAGGAACAGTTCTTCAGTAAGAGAACCGCAGCATCCAGACCCACCACAACAGCAATCGACCCGCGTCAGTAGCCACAGCCTCAGCAGCATACACTCCCGATACGACAAAGTTCTACAAACCATGAAGGATAACAACTGCAGTATGGCCAATGCCTCTCGCCTATCAGGTTGTCCCAGGAGCACCCTCCAAGATTTCATCGCAATAGCAGAGCTAAAAAAGGTGGACTCGAGGACATTTGAGATTGCGCTAGCAAACTACCAAGGAGAGACATTTAGAGAACTAGAGCAAATGTGCAGGAAAAGCCTCAGGCGTTACATGCCGCTTATGAGCACAATGCGCCTTGAGGGGCAACTGTTGCCTCTTAAATTTGACCAGCGCTTTTACGAATGAAGTTTCACTTGTAACAAAAAACAGCTCCTTTAGGAGCCACCACGTTTTCAAACGTCAATGGCCAATAATAAAGATTAATTGATAATGTTCCGATTTAGTAAAGCAAAAAAAAAACCTGCAAGAAGCCGCTGTAAACAAATTTTTTCCTTCTTGACTGCGAGGATGATGCAATGGGATTGTGAGGGGTTTCGTACCGACAAACAGCCAACAGTCGGCCGACTGTTGGCAAAAGGTTTTCGTAAAAGGCGGTAAACGACAGTCGTGTCTTCTATCCTTTTTCATCGTCCACTCATAAGTTCCATATAAATTCATCCGTTTGTTGTTTTGTGGATTCGTCCACAAAAAGTTTTGTGTGAGGATTCGTCCTCTTGTTGTGGATTTGTTCATTTGTTGTTTTGTGGATTCCACCACGACAATTGTATGTTGAGAGGTTTCATCCTCTTGTTATGGATTCGTCCATTTGTTTTGTTGTGGATTCGTCCACACAATTTTTTATTTGCGAGGATTCGTCCTCTTGTTATGGTTTCACCATTTGTTTTGTTGTGGATTCGTCCACACAATTTTTTATTTGAGAGGATTCGTCCTCTTGTTATGGATTCGTCCACAAGAATTTTATTTTTGAGAGGATTCGTCCTCTTGTTGTGGATTCGTCCATTTCTTGTATGTGGATTCGTCCACTTTTATGTCCCTTTTTGGTTTGGCATTTAAGGGGGCTTTTTTTGTCGACTAATTGTCTGACAGGCCTTCCCTGTCTCACTTTAAATTGCTACTAATGACTGGTCATATAACACTTTTTTGTTCAGAATATCTGTGCCTTTCAGTGTCTGCCTGTTTTAAATTTTATTTTGCAGATACATTATGCCCCCCAAGCGGTCATTACGTGTGCGCAATCCTTCAGTTAAAGCAGTTGAGGAAGAGGTCAAGGCGCTCTACACCATCATCCTCTACAGCTATGAATGCCCCTGCAGTGGAAACCCCAGCACTCTCGTTCCCATCTCAGGTCATGGACCAGCTGGTGGCCAGGGTGGCCGAGGAGGTCACTAGGCGGCTCTCCCCTGCCGCACCTATCAGCAGTTCGGCTGCGGTAGATTCTTCGCTGGGAGGCAGTAATACAGTGGCTAGCATTGCTTGTAGCAATTTACCTGAATTACCTCTGACATCGAGGTCAGACCCTGCTAGCAGTCCAGCTCCAGTATCAACATGTGGTTCCAGTCAGTTGCCAGGGCTGCCGTTGGTGTCCACCACAGATGTCATGACTACTCAGACATCCACTATGAGGGGCGATTTCCACCAATATTAACTTTCAAATTTTGTTATGCCATTCTCCAATGCTGTTATTCAGTTTTCGTAGGAATTCTTATATGCATGTTCGAATCCTATTATTCCCTTTCGAATTTTGTTATTCACTTTTCTGATTTTATTATGCCATTATGAATTCTTTTATTCAGTTTCGAATTCTGTTATTCGCTTTCAAATTTTGTTATGCAGTTGTCCAATTCTGTAATTCGATTGTACAGTCCTCTCATGCAGTTTCGAATCCTAATATTTCCTTTCCAATTCTTTTATTCACTTTTCCAATTCTATTATGCCAATATCAATTCTGTTATTCAGTTTCCAATTCTATTATTCGCTTTCGAATTATGTTCTTCCAAATCCGGGACTTCATGTAATAAATTATACTTTTCCCGCCTTCTCTGTAAAATATGGTAACATATGCCATGTTTATCCAACATGGCCGATCAGAGTGCGGCTGGAAGTTCAGGGAGTTCAGGTACCCGAAGCTCACGCGAAAGAGCAGTGAACTTGCTTAGAGTTGTGCAGAATCTTTTAGAAAGGAACGACGATGTGGAGCAGGGGCGACAACGCAGTCAAGATGAAGCAGGGCCTTCGGCTTCGGGTGAACAAAGCAGCACACGTGGTGAGGTGGTGAAAAATTTTCGAAACCTGTTTGCCAGTTACTCGGCTGCATCGCCAAGTCAGTCATCTCACCCGCCACCTGCAAAAAGGCAAAAAAGCTTTTATGTCCCAAAAGAAACATGGACTCACGAATTCTTTTGCCTGGCAGATTGTGCTCGTGTAGATTCTCCTTCACGAAAAGAAAAGTTGGAATTACAATTTGCCGGATTAGGAAGGAAGAAAATTGTGTTTGGGTCAAAGGATAGCACCTTACAGGTGAAGACAAAATTGGAGGAAGAATTTCCAAAGCTTAAAAACGGAGGTGGATTCGAAATTCTCCGTAGTGGTTTTTCCCCTGGAAAGTCTTTAGTTCTTCTTAGGCCACCAGCGTCTGTTGGCAACTCCGTAGAATTTCTGAGAGACGAATCTGGTTTGGGGCAAGCATTGGCCTATATTCGTCCTCTACAAAGATCTTTAGACGTAAGCTTACATGCCGAAGAGGTAAGTCGTTCTGCCAACATAAACATGTAAAAACTTATGTTTCGACGTTTCAACGACCTCATGATGCCATTCTGCGTACATTATAAGAAATTAACTTAATGCTTCACGAAATTAAAAAAAAAAGTTGTTATCAGATGACCAAGTAACAATGAACCACTATCAGCAGTAACATACCATTACCTTCCAAAATCCAACTACCTAATAGCTATAATTTTCATATCCTGGAAAAGAAGACATTATGATAAATCGACCTTGTCCTTTTTCAGTGATTGTGCATACCAGTGCAAACATCTTCCAGATCACTGGTCGAAGAAGGCAAGCATTCTCAAATTCGGTGTTTTGAATAACTGAAAAAGAGATGACACAGTTTTTGCTCCAATAATCAAAGAATTAATAAGAAGTTATACAGTCAATCCACAGAGTAAGAAAACAAAGTTGTGAACTAAAAGTAAAAAAGCACAATAAAATAGGCAAACTGCATTGTGCACACCTGTAAGTACACTTTAGTGTATTCATATTCTATTGACATCATTTGTTTTTTTGTTTTTAGGTGAAACACTCCCTTGCAAATAATGGAAGACCAAAGGGAAAGCCACAGTATTATCTCCCAACGTGACACAAAGGGTTTTTTTCACCGAGTTATAATTTGGAAGATGTGGAACCTGACCCAAATGTTTACTGTGATTTTCCAACGTGCACAAGAAGAGATACAAGAACTGTCATGACATTGACCTGCCTCCACTGTTTTCATTAATCTTGCATTTCATCGCGTGATTGTTGCCCAATCTGTCTGGTTTCATTGAGGAAAAAGGTGCGAAAACTGGTCAACACATTCAACACTGGACTTCTAATTTCTAACAATACTGCTGCTTTCGAAAGTAATGAAGACATTCACAAAGAAGAAAGAATTAATACACAAGCAGCCATGAGTATGACAAAGGCTCAGTCATTGTCGGATCCCCTAATGATAACTCACAGGGGATCCCCTAACGATAACTCACGGGGTACCTCAGGGGTCCATATTAGGCCCGATGCTGTTTACACTCTATATGAATGACCTTCCTACGGTAACTAAGTTTAGTAACATCGAATCCTATGTAGATGACACTAAGGTTTACTTATCGTGTGCGTCTAAAGATATCCACTCTTGTATGCAACAAGTCTACGAGGATCTTGAAAATATTACTGGTTGGTGTTGCGCAAATCACCTGCTTATAAACCCGGATAAAACTAAACTTGTGCTTTTTGGAACACGGCAACTTGTATCAAAGCTACCTGATGTCACTGTATCCTTCCTTAGACAACAGCTATGCCCTGTCTCGTCCGCCAAAGATCTGGGTGTTACCCTGGACTCTGGCTTAACATTCAATAATCACATCTCATTATCGTCATCCTTGCTATCTAGTTTGTGTTAAACAAGTAGGGTCCACCACCTGTTTTCCAAAGAAGTTTTGCATATAATGATCAACTCTGTTGTGTTTAGTAAATTATTTTACTGTTCTGCTGTATGAGCTGGTACCTATAAACGGAACATCCATAAACTACAACTCATGAAGAACTTTGCTGCCCATATACTAACTGACACAGGGAAATACGATCATATTACCCCGGCCCCGAAAGCTCTTGGCTTGCAGACTATAGAGGAGCAACTTTGGTTGCGGGACGTGACAATGACGTACAAATGTGTTAACAATTAGTGCCAGCATATATTAGCTGTAAAATAGGAAGCGATCCAATGCGCACGCTTACAATCTCCACAACAGTGAAGATCTAAACCTGCCAGGATGCCAGACAGCGGCTGCCCAGAGTGGCTTCTTTTATAGGGCAGCAAAAGCGTGAAATAGTCTCAGTAACAACACTAGAACTGCCCGATCATTAAGATCATTTAAAAAGCATGCAAAGGCAGAATTAATGAAGAAATATGATACCAGTATACATACCATAGTATATTATTACTTTGTTAGTTATTATTAGAAGTAGTAATTTTAAGTTGTTATTTATATATTAAGAACATGTATATCGTTAGTCTTAGTTGTATTATATATACATATTGTAAATAAATTCTGAAAAGCCCCTCGGGGAGAATTAATAAAGGTATTGTATTGTATTTTATTTTATTCCTCAGCAGAATGGGCCGTGAAGGTCGACAGCAGAGTGAATAGTTATGCAGCAATCCCTCTTCCATACCATCCAAACCACAATCACTCTTCAGCCCAACCAACGGTACATGAATCCGACTCAACCTCATCTCGAGTTCTCACACCTATTACCATCCAACCCTATCATGATGGTAATGTAACCTACTGGTCTTTTCCACATATCAATCTACAATCCTTGGAAGAACTGGAAGTAATGCATGCACATTTATTAGCCTTTTATTTAGCAAAATGTTTTTTCACCTAACGTCAACATTCCAGCAACTGGGAGTCCACTAAGCCAGGCATGGGTCTATCAGATAGTTGGCTGTGAAGTCTATCTACGACTCAGTAACGAGTATACCTCTAACATTTGGTGTGTTGGAGGCACTTCAAACCCCTAGGGTTTTGAATATCACTGAAAATACTACTGCGGAACCTGAAAGCCTGTTAGAATTGTCCCTGAGACGAATCCCACAGCTTCTTTGCCTTACTACTGGAGACAGGCTCTAGCCAAAGGGCGAACAATATCATTATTTATTTTACATTCCAACAGGGAATTTTTTTTTAGACAGTCATTGTCATGGGAACAGTGGGGCTCAAGTTACCTTTGTAGAGTGGCAGCATTCATTTGAACTTCTCTCTTCGTTAAAGAGAATTAATGGCTTTCAATACACACTTGGAACTGTCAGCAACATCTGGTGCCCGATATATTTGTACGATTGCAATATACAAGCGTTTGATGCCGTCACAACAGTGGGGTAGACTGGACTTGAGCTAATTTCTTACCCATGATACACTGACGCACACGGTAATTCTGACTCAACGAGAATGGCGAAACGTCAGAAGAGTTCACTGCCTTTTACTATTGAAAGTTAAAGGGAAGAGGCCTTCGCCGGAGGAAGAAATGAATTAATTGGATCAAAAATTCTAACCGATATCTCCTCGCTTAATCTTGATCAAGCAGAGAATGTGTCTGAAGACGTGCTTTGTGCACTAATCGTGAAATTTGGTATAACTCTCGTATTTGCCATTGCTGGTGTTGCTTCGTCTCTCCAGGTGTTGCCAGATCTCTTTCGCGAGGAAGTTCTAAAAATCCTTTTTACAAATTTGGATGTGGCTGAACTGTGTTGCCTCTACAAGTGTGTACAAAAGCTGTCCCGTGTTTCGATGATCTTGATCATCCACCCCAAGTATTCTCTCGTCCCTGTGATAGATGTTTACGCTGCCAGTCACAGTTGCAAACCTACAAGACTTAGACTGCGAGCAGTCTCTTATTTTCTTCAAAGTCGATGGGGTAGGACATGCGAGCTGCAAAAAACGAGGGCGTAAGCCCGAGATGGAAGAAAAATAAGAGACTGCTGACTCTTTTGATCTGTGTGGGGATATCAAAGCTGTCGTGCTAATCTAATTAACTAATTAACACCAACTCTATTTTCGCGGGAGTAACTTGAGCTAATGTAAAAATAAACCATTGCATGAGATAGACGTGCGTACTTTTTTCCCTTATATAAACTTACATTTTGTACATGTACTTCTTGCGAAATGCTTATCTTTCGAAATACAGCATGGCTAGTTCCACTGAGTTACGCAAAGAGAATCCATTCTTTGATGGCTGCTTCGAAAGAAACACCTCAGAAGCTTGCTTTTGCAAGCAATAGTAATAAAGAATCATTTTGAGGCGACTCATGTCGTCTTTGCAAGTCTTTATTTAAAATACAAGTTGGTAATACTAAACGGCACATATCTACTGAAAATCTTTTTAATACCCCTGGCAAGAAAGGTGTTGAAAAAAGGGCTTTGGATAAGCTTATTCAAGTAGACTTGGGTGTTACCGTCATCAAAACTCTGGAATATTCGTGCAGAGTTTGCTCCAAATGTGCCTTGAAAATACGAAATAATGCCGTTGAACTATTCTGTTTCGTGAAGGAAAATATAAACCCCCGACAACCGATAGCGGTTGCCGCTCAAGAAAAAAGATCTGAATATCGGAGAAACCAAAGAGCAACAACGCTGGAAGAGAATGTCGAAATCTCAGTCTTCTGCTGAGAAGGTAAAATCAGCCAAGATTCCTTGCACTGAACCGCAGCTAACTCTTGAACTGAAACGAGGTTTTAGAGTTAGAAAATCTTTCTCATTCGGTCAAGAACCAGTTGATTTAAAT